GTCACAAGGCTTCAACAGCATCCACCACCTGCATATACCCACTTGGCAGGTTGTCTGGGAGGAATGCATCAAGTGAACAGGGATGGAAATCACTTTTGTTGAGTCTGATAGTCTCACGGAAGGCAACATTCTCCAAATTCCAGACACCTATGAGAAAATACATACTGCTCCTCCAACATATATTGGACAGGCTTACAGGGTGCTTCCAAGCAATAAAGTGTGCAAAAACCCAGATATAGATATAGATATTTAGCTAAAGTGTTAATATGTGGGATAAATGATGTACAAATCTATTATAATCAATGGGGAAAACCAGTGTATGGTAGTGATTTGAGTGTTGAACTATGACTCTGGAGATCTTCAATTCACTACTGAGCAATAGGAGCTTGTCACATTTTTAAATAACTTGCCTTACCTGATCCAGCTTAAAATTAAATTCTGGTGGTGACTGGACCCTATTGCAAGGGTTTTGCCACCGAGATCGCCATCCAAATGCAGCCCGGGGCCATCCCTGCTCCTAAAGCCACTCCAGACACCATTTTCTCAAGCTGGAAAACTCCTGGCTTCAAAATGAGCCATGCTGAGTAGCTCTAGGAGCGGGAATGGCCCTGGGCTGCATTCAGGTGGCAGTTTTGGTGGCAAAACCCTTACAAAAGGGTCCGGTTGCTGCCTGAATTTAATTTTAAGCCAGATCAGGTAAGGTGAGTTATTTAAGAATGCAATAAGCTCCATAGAAACCCATTTGCTGACCTTGGGCGAGTCACACACTCTTAGGGCCAATGCACACAGCTCGTAAGGGTAGCTATGGGCCACCTTTGGGAGTGACGGATCAGGACTGCGGCAACCACATGCCATGGCCTCGATCCTCCTTTTTGCCACACCCAAAAGAGCGGGCAATTGCCCGCTTTTTGGGGCAGCAAAAAGCCTCCCTTTGAGATAGCACTTTTGCATCCTTTTGGGGCAGCATGTCTGCATGCTGTGCCAAGAGGGTGCCCTGACACCGTGTACCATGTGGACGGGCACGTGGCATTGTGGCAGAGTCAGGGCAGGGTCAGGGTGGAGTTGTGGTGTCTGGCGTGCAGTTGCCCCACCCCAACTCCACCCCCAGGCCGGCCCAGAAAACCCCATGATAGGTTCACCTTAGGATCACCATAACTTGGAAATAACTTAGAGATACATAATGACAACAAGAAAGTGAACTGTGTAAAAAAAAATCACGTTAAGGAAAATTCATTAAAATGTGCACAAATTTTAACTCAGAAAGAAAATGTGAAGTCTCATAATGTGATACAAAATATGGATAGGATAAAGATGCAAGTGGGGTTTCAGAGCAACTTATTGAGATTACAACAGAGAGATTTACAGATCCCTACTACTGACTAAAAGGAGGAAGAAGGAGAGTGCCCTTCCCCTGGCTTTGCAATAATTCTTGTTTGCTTGTCCATTTAGATTTTACCATAAGCTACTCTGAATGTTAGTTTTAAAAAATTTAAATAAATATGAGATGATTAATATAATTTTAATTTCCTCCCCACACAAAGAAAATGAACTTCTGATGATGAAATCCCATCCCTCTTTTCATTTGGATGATATAAAGTTCTCACTGTGTCTTCCCTTTAATTGCACTGCTGGGGTGCCCTACTTTTGCTGCTGTTTCATCGCTTTCGTTTAGAAGGAGACTAATTGCATGAGCTCACATTTTTAGTGGCTTTGAAGAATTAGCCATTAAACAGCAACGATCCGGAAATCTTCCATGATTGATCACACAGCACTGTCTAATTCACCACAGTAACTCACCATAACAGTCATTGCTTATGGGGTGAGAAAGAAATAGATCCGGTGCATAAAATATCATGAACGAGTCATCATTAAATGCAAATACCTGAATGATAGTCATGCATTGCTGTACTTTTTTTTATTTTAAACCCTCAGAACTAGAATACAAGAGATGAGGTTTGAAAGAGGACTCTCACTAAGGACCGTCTTCAGACCAAAACAATGGTTGATGGAATGGCTGAATGGCCATTTCTGCATGTAAATGAATTCTTTGCCATGGTTAGGGATTTCCTGGGCATATATAGGAGGCCTTGTATTTTAATGAGGAAAGGATTGTATCCATGTGGCATGGATACAATGCCTAATTTCTGAATCACCAGCATCTGGAGCCAGAATTAGAAGATGCATGAGATGCATAGCTGCTCTGAAATCCATGCTGATGCCCATGGGAACTGTGATGTGGTGACAAAATTCTTGAACATGATAACTAATGAAATTGAGGTATATGGGGGAGAGAAAGGGAGGAGGGAATGGCTATCCCAAGACTTTTGTGTGTGAGAGAGACAAAGAGCAGAGGTAGTGGCTTCTCCCCCATTCTACATACAGAAAAGAACTGGACCAGAAGTTGATTTTTATTTTCAGTACAGGCAGTGAGACATTTTCCATGGCACCTTAATGCAGCAAACAACTTTGGAGGATCAGGACAGGCCATGGTTCCCTTCCTGTTCCTGTTCTGTCTCCCTTTTACTTCTTGTCTTTCTTTTACTGCTTGAAACATTTAGTCTGTCATTCATTTTCTATTTTTTATTTCTTTTTGGCCACAGATAGCATCTTCTTCCCCTCCTCCTTGACTGTGTCTCTTGCTTCTGTTCATAGTTTTTCTAGTTCCCAGTCAGTTAGGTTTAATAGTGCAAATCTATTTTAACTTTATCTTTAAATTCTACTGGGATGTTTTTCAGGTCATATTTAGGCATGATGACTGATTTTGTGTTGTTCAGCTTTATTCTAATTTTTGATATTTTCATGGTCTGTGCCGCAGTCTGCCCTGGTCTCATTTTTGCTGTGAGAATAAAAATACTCTATTTTCTATTTCCAATTATGTAGTCTATTTGATTTTTGTCCTGGCATCCAGTGATGTCCATTTGTACAGTCTCCTTTTTGGTTGTATAAAGAACCTGTTTGCAATGAATTGGCCCCACAAAATTCTATCAGTTGCTCTCCAGTTTCATTTCTTCAGTCTGGTCCAAATTTTCTTACAGTTTTTGAGTCTCTTCTCCTTCCTACTTTTATATCCCAGTCACCTATGATTAATAAGAAATCCTGTTTTTGTGTGTTGTCAATTTCTTCCTGGACTCTATCTTAGAATCTCTTGATTCCTTCTTCTTCTGCTTCTGTGGTTGGTGCATGGACTTGAATTATTGTAATGTTGAATCTTATTGATATGATTTAATCTCATTTTGTATTATATCCTTTGACTGCTCTTGCTGCATCTCTCCTCACTATCAACGCCACTCCATTTTTTTGTCTTGTCATCTGACTAAAAATTCCTGTCCATTTTAGGTTGCACACCCTCAGTATTGCAATGTCTATATGTTCCATTTTCCTTTTTTAATATGTCTGGGTTCCCTTGACTCCTAATTGGGTCCTGTTGTGCCCTTGACCATCTTTATATTTCTAGTTACCCTTTGCTCTGTGTTTTTAGCTCTCTGTTTGTGTCCTATGCCTACCTCTTGTTTCATTTTGGATTATTTCATCATAGGGTTTTCTTGGTGAGAGGGTTCACCATTGCCTCTCTTCATGCAGTACTAATACATGTTAGCTATGGTATCACTGAAAGCACATGTTAGCTATGGTATCACTGTTGTCTCTGAAAGATCCTTCAACAGTGTCACCCAATACTACTGCTGCTGCTGCTGCCTAGTAGTAGTTTGTCACTCTAATACTTACATCAACTTTGTTGTAGACTAAGATTGTATTGCTTGCCCCCCTCAAATTTGCCCCTCCTCAGTTCCCCCCTCAAATCCTCCTTTTTCCAGTCCTGTCCTGCACCCCGTTTTTTCAGGTCCCTTCAAAATCCTTTTGAGTCCCTTCACTCCATTTCAAATCCTCCCCCCATAAATCCACCCCCTCGAAGACCCCTCAAGTCCCTTCTTGATCCATGGGGACCTCAATCATCCCACAGCTGTGGTGGCTATGGCAGCTCCCTCCTCACTGTTGATGTAGCAGTGGAGGTTTGGGCTGCTCTTCTTATCTCCAGCTGGGTGGCTGTGGTAGTAGATGCAAACTACCTAGGCACCTTTCTCTATCCCTATATGTCACTGGATTCCTGGGAAAATACATAACAAAATTCCTAGTATTCATGGTATGAAAGTAATGCTTGAAAATTGCATAGAAATGTTCTTCAAAAGCGCTGAAACAGGATGGTTGCTGATCCTAATGCTTGTAGTTCAGTCATACAATTTCTGGATGACAGTCTCCTCCCCCCTCCTATCCTCCTTCAATTAATTAGAAATTGATTTTACACCAAGTGTGACTAATTAGAATTATTTTAATGTATCTTTTGGAACATAGGATTTTGCCAGTGTCTTAAAAGCTAGAGAGCAGTTTAAGATGACACCAGTCCCTGCTCTGAGCAGTAGATGGAATTTTATTGCAAGTATTATGATTCTTTTACATCTCTACATGCATTCCCTCCCCCTCCTCCACCACCCATGAGGTCATCTCACTTGGCTAATTTATTTTCAATCTTTTTCTGTCTTTCTTTTTTTTTACTAGCACACAAAAGTTAAATTACTACTTTTTCGGGGGGGGGGTTCAAACGTTTTTCTTTCTCACCTTGCTATTGCTCAGATATAAAATGTGAAGCATTAAAAATAAACGCAGATATTTCAAGGCTCCCACATTCTTAGGGAGTATCTAAACTTCACAGGTATAGCTGTTAGATACCACTTTATCTGTCATGAATCCATTTTATGGAATCCTGGTATTTGTAGTTTGGTGAAAAGCTTAGAATTCCTTAATAAAGCACTAGTGCACTTCCCTGATACTCTGAATAGTATTTTCCACTTGCACATGATATAGTCCATTCCTACCACCACAGCATTAGAAACACAAGGAACTGTCTCATAATGAGTGAGACCATTACTTCTTCTAGCTCTGTACTATCAGTACTGACTGGCAATAGCTCTCCAGAGTTCCAAATAGGGGTTTTGTTTTGGCCCTATTGGGGATGCCAGGGATTGAATCTGAGACCTTCTGGATTCAAACAAGGTACTCTACCACTAAGCCACCATAGTGCATGGCATTCATCTCATCCTGTTGCATGCAGAGACCCTGACTGCTCATAAGAATGCATGCAAGGAAAGTCATTGCTTGGTACAACGTCTCACCCACAAGGTTGCTTGCATGTTTGGCAGCCAACCCCAGCTTGCTTGCATACACAGCAACACCCAGCCTGTTCCAGCTGGAGAGCCTGTATTCTTTGCTGGACCAGCTTCTGGCCCATTAGCATAATTGTTACTCCTCAGAGTATATTTTCATTCAACAAATCCCTCACCACTACCATGGCAGTCAAAGAATTAATTACTCTAAGAAAGGGACTAGGCTCTCATGATAAAAAGAGTTTCACAACTTGGGCTTTTCAATGATCTCCCTCTCCCACTGAGGCTGCTCCAGAGCTTGTCAAAGCATTTGGGGCACCGCCATGGGTCATTGCTTCCCAAAAGGGGAGACAATGTCACAGGAACTATGACACTTATCTCAAAGAGAGATTTACTTGCTGTTTAAGGGGAGGGAGGAGGGGAAAAAGGGAGGGGGAGATACAAAGAAGAAGATAAAAAGGCAAGTCCTTCAGTTGCTGTGGCTGATTGACTGAGGGAAAGTGTGTGTTTGTGTGTAGCGAGCTGTTACTGTTGTTGTTGTTGTTGCTAACTGAGTTCTAAAGATAATATACTTGCTTTGATTTGTTGAATTGACATCTGGCTCCTAGAGCAGGCTCTTCACACACATATGGAACTGTGTGTGTTGCTGAATGAGCCACTGCTGTATCTGATGCAGGATGAAGCTCTCAGGTAGAACTTAACAGGGAAAGGTTACTTTCTTGGACTGTAACTCCCAGAACCCCCAGCCAATGTGACCAGTAGGGGATTCTGGAAACTGTAGACCAAAACATTTCTTTTTCATGTCCTGAAACATGTGCATTCCCTGTCAGGTATACACATATCTGAGGGTGTCGACAACATCCTCCACACCTACACAACTCTTAACCCCAGCCTGAAAAGAAGAAAGTGACTGGTTTTAATCAGTCACTCCAAGTCATTACTTGTTCTTCCATAATGAGGTCTGGAGGGGTGAGGCTGCCACTTGTTCATGACAAATTATTTATTTATTACTTACATTTATATCTTGCCTTTCTTCCAAGGAGCTCAAGTCAGTGTACATGGCTTCTATACTTTATCCAAATAACTACTCTTTAACAGGGTCTCGCCTATTAGCAGAGAATGGGAAGAGAGAGAGAGACTGTCTTTTATTTTGTGAGTTTCTTGGCTCATTGGGAACTAGAACTTGGATCCTGCAAGTGTGGTGATCTAGCTAAAATACACCACACTGGCTCTTAACTACAGAAACACAGGTGTGTTGGATAGATGAAACAGCATGTGTCATCTGAGGTCTGTAATCTTCAGTTACTTGTTCATACTGAACAGACAGAGTAGACTATTGTGGTCTACTCTGCCTGTTCAGATGGTGTAAGGCAGCTCTTCATGTTCATATAATTGTTTTTCAAGACACCCATTCTTCAGTCAATTTGAACATAGGAAGCTGACTTATTCTGAGTCAGACCATTAGTCTGGTAGCCAGTACTGTCAACTTTGCCAACAATGGCTTTCCAGGGTTTCAGGAAGGATTTTTTCCTAGCTGCTACCTGAAAATCCCTTGTGTGTCCCAGTAGTCAAAGCACTGCAATGTGATGTGGCAGCTAAGAAACCCAATGCACTTCTAGGCTACATCAATAGGAGTATAGTGTCTAGATCAAGAGAAGCAATAGTAATTTATTCTGCTCTGGTCAGATCTCACCTGGAATATTGTGTTCAGTTCTGGGCATCACAATTCAAGAGAAGCTGAAGTATGTCCTGTGAAGGGTGACCAAAATGTCTGGATACCATGCCTTATGAGTGGTAGCTTAGGGAGTTGGGTATCTTTAGCCTGGAGAAGAAAAGGTTAAGGGGTGACATGATAGCCATGTTTAAATATTTGAAGGGGTGTAATACTGAGGATGGAATAAACTTGTTTTCTGCTGCTCCAGAGACTAGGAAATGGAGCAATGGATTCAAGCTACAGGTTCAACATTAGAAAGAGCTTCCTGACAATAAGAGCTGTTTTGACAGCAGAATACATTCCCTCAGAAAATGGTGGTGTCTCCTCCTTTGGAAGTTTTTAAACAGAGACTGGATCGCCACCCGTCAGGGGTGCTTTGATTGTGAGTTCTTGCATGGCAGGGGGTTGAACTGGATGACCCTTGTGGTCTGTTCCAACTCCATGAGTCTATGATTCTATGTGTCTTCCTGAATGGCAGGGAGTGGGACTTGATGGCCCTTGTGGTCGTTTCAGCTCTATAATTCTGTGATTCTAATTATGTATTGTCTTATTTATTTATTTATTTATTTATTTATTTATTTATTT